AAAGGCCTTTGTATTGCTTTTTGCAATGCTGTATCTAATTGCTTTCTCATCCATCCAGGTATAAAGATGCCCTCATTTTTCAATTTACTCCCAAATGTCCTCATTATTGAAAGTAATATTCTCTTCCTATTGGTCTCATTTTCTGTGTTTGAATTGGTCATTTTCCCTGCATTCAGCTTTAGCTTGGTTCAGAATGTAAAGCACTATAAAATGTGTAGTGTGGGGGAAAAGGGTCACTCAGTTACTTCAAGGCCTTTGAGATTAATCATGGAAAACAACATGGGTCCTAGGGATGCTGATAGGAGCTGACACGGTTTGGCTGGAGGGTGGAAAAGCCCCCTTCGTACTTATCTCTATGTCTGTAGATGAAAGGCAAGGCACAGTGGTGACTGCCTTCTCAGCCTCCAGCCTGCTCTCTGCTGGGCTCCCTATAGACTCAAATATGGCCCAGTAGAACACAGGCAGCTGTGGCAAAGGCATTAATGAGTCATTTCTAATTATTAATATAATATGCATTTGGCTGTTTTCCACTGAAATTTTATTTTTTTAATACCTTTGATGGTCCAATGGGTTTGGAGGGTTTGTGTGTATGTGTTTGTTAATGTTTTTAAAGACTGTGTCTTTTTCTGAGGCAGCTGTTTGTGTCAACTATGAACCCTTATAACAGGGAGTGTTGGAGTGGATGGGCCTGGGCCCACAAGTCTGATACATCCATTGTGTGGTCTTGAGCAAGGCACCAAACCTTTCTGAACCCCGGGTTCTTTTTAATAATAAGGGAATTGGATTAGATAAACTCGGTGTTCTGCTCATGTTCCAACACTGTTCTGCTATTGTTGCCACATGCAGTTGTCTGAATTGAGACATGCTACAAATATAAAATATACACCAGATTTCAAAGACTTACCAAAAACCAAACTCATTGCCGTGGAACCTGACTCATAGCAACCCCTCCTTGGGTTTCCGAGGCAATATCTCTACGGAAGTAGATTGCCATGTCTTCCTTCCATGGAGTGGCTTGTGGGTTTGAACCGCCAGCCTTCTGGTTAGCTGTCAAATGCCTTAGGCAGACTTAGGGTGAAAAAAAATATCTTGTTAAATATCCCAATTTCTCTACTGATTATAAATTGAAATGATAATAATTTGGGGTATGTTGGGTTAAATAAGATGTAAAAATTAATTTTACTTTTTTTGTTAATGTGGCTACTAGAAAATTTTAAATTACACTTGAACTTACATCGTATTTCTATTGGACAGCATTTTTAACTTATGGTTCAGGAGTCCCATTTATTTTTAATGCATATCAAATTGCAAGACATTTTAAATAGTCTTGAGAAAAAAAGTTATGTCATTTTCCATTCTAATGTGTCCATTCTTAAAAAAAAAAGTAAAGATTTCACTTTATGGTTAAGTGTTTAACAGCATTTGAGGGGAAGAAACACCAAGTGTTTCTTGAAATAAAATTTTATTCCTTCTCCTTTGAATGAAGATGTCATGCCAGTCCTTTGGCTCTTCGAGTCTTTAGAATAGCAGAACCTTTCCAGACTCATCTCATTAAAAGGGATTGTTGCAAAGTGAAGATCACACACACACAGCATCTCTTCTTCATGTGAGTACCAAGTATTTGGAAAGCACCTAAATCCTCAATCCCTGAGATCCAAAAGGCCTATGTTCAATAACCACTTCCTCTCAGGCTTTAACTGCTAGACCAAATTGAGAACAGTGGACAGAGACATCAGCTATGCCTTAGTACAGAAAGACCACCAGAGGAAATATTCAGAGGCTTACGTGAACAAAGGGGAGAGAGGGTGGGTTGGCAGGGGACACAAATATTTGCGTAGATAAAGTAGGCCTTGAATGCCAGGAAGGGGATCTAGAACTTGATATGAAAGGCATGGGCAGAATGACTATTCCTACTTTCTAGGACTATTGGCTGTTTTAGTTCCCAGTGAATGAACATTATTCTTATTTATAAGGTGACTCCTACGTGAGTGTTCTGGTTATAGGTTAGATATGCTGTTAATGATCTGTGTGTGTGTGAGGGGGGTGTAATAATTATTAGACTAACCAGTCAGGCATAAAGTATGTGAGTGAGTGTGTACATGTGTGTGCACTTACAGGGGAGTGTTAAAAAGGAGAGAGGAGTATAAATCTCTCCTCTTAGGCACACTGTGTTAAAGAACAGATTCTGGGTTTTAAAATAAGATTATTATTTTTTTTAAATTGTGATTTGGGTGAAAGTTTACAGAGCAAGTTCATTTTCCATACAGCAGTTCACATACACTTTCTCTCATGACATTGACTGCAATCTCCCATAATGCCACTGCTCCCCTCCTGTTTCCTCCCCATAGCCACCTCTTCCCTGTGTCCTTCCCTCCCATGCACTCCTGCCCACACCCAAGCTGTCTCCCTGTGCATACACAGCCCTTCTATTCCCCCATGATTAATCTCTTCAAGAAGTATTATCTACCTAATGTAGATGTTCAGCTCATATGTCTGTCTTTTGTTTGGCTGGAAACCACAGGAGTAGGTTCAATTCCAGACCTGAAGGGCAGCTAGGGGCCATAGTCTCAGGGGTCCCACCAGGCTCTATCAGACCAGCAAACCTGGTCTTTTTTTTTTTTTTTTAAATTAAGATTGATTTTTTAAAGTCTTCTATTTTGAGATCATTGTAGATTTACCTGGATTTTAAGAAACAATACAGAGATCCTGTATACCCTTAGCCCAATTTTCCCCAATGGTAACATCTTACATACTAAATAACTGTAGTACACTCTCCCAGCCAGGAAGGCGCCTTGGTGGTGCAGTGGCTAAGAGCTCACCTGCAGATGGAACCAGCCAGAGGCTCTGCAGGGAGAAAAGACCTGGTGCTCTCCTCCTGTAGAGATGTCAGCCTAGAAACCCCACAGGGAAGTTCTACTCTGTTCCATAGGGTCACTATGAGTCGGAATTGACTTGAGGGCACACAGCAGCTCTCAACTAGGAAACTGACCTTAATACAATCCATGGACCTTATCTAGAGTTCATCAGTTTTACTTTTTTTTTTTTTTTTAAATCACATGTATCTTCTGCTTTTAAATCGCAGCTCTGCTAAGTACTAGCTGTACTTGTTCCTGAGCAAGTTCCTTTATTTCTGGTTCCAGGATCATTTGCAAAGTGGGTATAAAAATGTTCACCACCTAAGGGTAGTGTGAGGATAAGGTGAAATAATTTCTGTGGAGTTTCACTACAGTCTCTGGCTCATTATGGATTCTGAATAAGTGCTAGTTTTCTTTCCTGTATACTCCTCATTCTCCCAGTAGCTAGGGAGGTTTTTTTTTTTCCCCCCACAGGTTCTTGCTGAATTAACCAGACTTGTGGATTATAGTAAATCAGGCAGCTCCTTCAAGGGCACATTTAAATCTGTAGCTCAGAGTGTTGGGTGCTGCCTTCAGTGGGGAGCCATCTCCTGTAGGCCTGGACTTGGGATCCTTTTGACTGTATTGAGGTCAGGGTGTAGAAAGGAGAAAGTGGAGATTTTGAAGAGCATCAGGAGTACGGCTAGGTGGAGGCTGTAAATGCTGCACAACCCTTGGCCAGACAACTACCAACTCTGCCCTGTGTGGTTGGGGTCTGAGGGTCGGATGTATCCACAAGAAGGCCCAGGGGGCCGGAGTCTAAGATAGCAGATTGGTCAGGTGCTGATGCGAATCTAGACCTTGTGGAAGGGTCACACTCGCTGCAGAGGGTTCAGTGTCAAGTCTATAGCCCTTTTGCCTCTCGAACCCCTTTTTTCTCTGAAGAGCAAGGGCCGCCTGGCAGCAAGAAACCAACAAAACCAAACTCACTGAGGAGCCTAAAACCCACCTTCAAGTTCTGCTGGCTGGAGACGGGTGTTCAGAAAGAACCAATTTGTAAGAAAAGGGAAGCAAGCAGGCCGGGAGCCACGGGGGGTATCAGATGCGCCAAGCCCTCGCCCAGTGGCCATCTCGTGGCCAGGGCTCTTTCCACCCGCCTCCGAGTTCTGGTGACTCGAAGTTCAAATCTCAGAGGCGCCCGCCCCAGCGTTTCGCAGCAGCCAAGCAACCAACCGCTGAGCTCCTCCTGACCCCACAGACTCGAGCAGTCACCGTGGCCTGGGGCTCAGGTTAATCAGCGAGGAGACCCTGAGAGGGTCCGGGCGGCACCCGGCGCTCCTCCCTCGGCAGCGGGGCGCCGCGCGGGCCGCGAAGGAGGAGTCGCCAAGCCCCGGCAGGCGTCGCCTGTGGCTCCTCCTCCGCGCGCGGCCCAGCCCTTCCTCCCCGGCGTCCACAGCTCCGGGTG